ACAAAATCTTTCTTATATAAATTGAATTTAGTGAACAAATATAGTGGTCCTCATGCTTCAAATTTAATTCATTCCAGGAGGCTGTTTGAACTTGAATTGTTTGAAGTGTAACTCAATTTTTCTCATTAGAAATAATGGAAAGTGACTTAATCTGTTCTCAGACCCTAAACAATACCCATTTCAATAAATGTAAAACAGTAAATACACATAATTTAAGATAAAAATAACACAATTAAATGCCTAAATAATAAATTAAAACATGAAAACAATAAATAAAATATGTAAATACTGTATAATAAATAGAAAATTCCATTTGCTGGTCACATATTGGTTTTGGCATCTTAAACATGGCCACCAGATCTGCTATACCTATATCATGGATAAGTTCCTTCTTTTTTATCTCAATTGTGGATCTTAGACTTTATTGCTTCCACACACTTCTTGGATGCCATAGTTAATAAGTAAAAGCTATATTGGGTTGAACAAAGTTTTTGCTTATTTTTAACAGCTATTGTTACTTAACATTAATAATAAGTTATGAAATTTAACACATTAATGCTAATGTGAGATTGTATTCTTTGTTTAGAAGCTTATTTTAAACTTTTTATTTCACATTTTGTTCCAATAAAATCAAGTTGAGATATTTTCAGATAAAAAACATATCAGGCATATTATACTTGGAGTTTTGAGAAGGATATAATGCTACACAAACAGTAAAAAATATTATGATGTATGTGGTAAATAATATTATGATGCTCTTAAACTTTCAATGTGTCAAATATGGTTTAAAAAGTTCCTTTCAGGAAATTTTGGACAGAATGATACAAAATGTACAGGGTAACGAAAAGAAGTTTATGAATAAAAAATTGCGTTGTGAAAAATTGGAGAATAACACACAATACATATAATCAAACACCAAAAATAAAGTGAAAAAAGCACTGAAAACATGAATGCAAGAGCAAAAGATAACTTGGGCACACAACAGATTGTGTATGTTTCGAGTGCATTTTTTTTCACTGCGCACACCATTCAAACTTTGAAGCTTTGAATTCTGAAACAAATTTTTTTTGTCAAATTTAGCATTTGTAGTTAGTTCAAAGTATAAGGTACCACTGTGCATAATTTTCATCAACAGTATATCTAACCTGAAATGCTGAACTGATGGACTAATTTTCATACTAAGTAACTGAATTATTTGCAAAATAAATCTTTTAAAAATAATTAATGCTAATATTAAATAGAAAAATAAAATCTATTTCTTAAAATTTTAGAAATATTATTCTTATTTGGATTTTAATTTTTGCATACTTTAGATTCCTCATTTAAAACAATGTAGTTAGCCTTTTTCATTTCATAAGCAATGAAACAACTTGCAACATGACATATGATATGACATGTAGAGATAAAAAGGAGAGGTATCCAAATATATTTAAGGAAAAACATCCTCAGAATTATGAAAATTATCAAAATAGAATATTAATTTATTAATTTTTTTGTCTGCTGTAATATAATAGCAGACAGTGAATTTTTCAATTAAAGCAAATTATTGCCCGATTACATTGGGCTATGTTAATTCTATTTTCGCTACTAATTAAATTTCAAGCAATTTGACTTAGAGGTATGCAAATTACTTGAAATTTAATTAGTAGTTAGTAGCATTAATGTAACCCAATGAAATCTGGCAATAATTTAGTTTAAATCTAAATATTGGATTTTTAGATGTTTATATTTGTATGTAGTGAATTTTTCTTATTTTTATATTTAAGTTGTCAAAACATTTTCTGGATATCAGTTTATTTGCCTTGAGCTAATAAAAATCATGAGTTGATGTCATGAGTTGGCCATTTGTTATTGTCCTATATGTCATAAGGAATATCTAAAACTTGAACATTTATTTATTTTAGCTACATTAGGAAAATTTTAATTGAGCCTAAAGATTTCTATCTCTTTCTTGACAATAAAAGTCATAACAATATAAAAAAATAAGAGAGAAAAAGAAGTAATCAAGTACAAATAAAAAATAAATGTGAGTTGAAAAGATAAGGCAAGGAAAAATTATTTAAATTCAAAAATTTCCATAGAATGGAGTTAATGACTGGTATGACACCATTATTGTCAGGAAAAGTTTGATGTACAGGGCAAGACTATTAAGGTATATTTTAAATTAAATAAATTAAAAATATGATTTAAAATTGTTGCCCAACATTGTCACAATAATTTTTGCTTGTATGGTTTTTACTTTAATGCTTGTTATTTTTTGCCTGGATAGCACTGGACACATTAGCTAGTAATTTATATATTAAAAAATTAAAACTAAATGAAAATAATTTCAATAATTATGTAACAAGAATCTTTCTATGGAGTGATTATTATGTATTAAACTATGCAATTGGAAAGCAAATCAATAAATGTGATTACACTGGGGAAATACTTTATCAAAATTCAATCTTTAATGATTTATAGATTAGTATAATGTTAGTGCTACATTCAAATTGGAAATCACAAAGCAAAGTTTGCAAGTTCACAATTTATGATTATTGAAATTTGATAATTTCAAAAGTTTTTAATAAAAATTGTGTGCTGAATTAAACTACTGCGTAGATAATAATGAAGAAATGGATGCTTATGCATGTGATTTTTTTTAATCATTATTTTAGATTAATAAAATGATAAATTAAGATAAAAGATCAAAAGGTGATTAGTAACAGTGTTAGTTAATAATTATTAAATTTCTCGGAATATTTTCTTTAATAAAATTAAAATTTATTGTACTGTGCAGTTGTGATAAAAGAAAAAGGAACATGTACATACAATGATCATCCAAAAATCTGTTAATGGCATCAGTATTATTTTTGTTGGTGAAAACTAGAAGTATGGAAACAACTACAGTTATACCAAATTCTTGAAGACTTGTTTATTAAAGTTTGTGTGGATTGATTTTTTTTTTTTTGAAAAGTTCCAGTAGATAAATCTATTATTTGATACAGGAAGTTATATGATATTCTAAACATTTCTTCAAGTTCTTATAATTATCTTTCAGTTTACCATCTTTTAATATTTATGTAACATTATGAATTCTATTCAATAATTGTTTTTAATGTATATATTTGAATTGTGATCTTTAGTTTTCTTTTCACTTTGTTCTAGATTAACCTTTATTTAATTGTTTTTTATGTATTTTTCTATAATTTCTATATGATTTTTTAAATTCATAAATCACATTGTCTATTAAATAAAGCCTTCTATGATAAATTTGTTTTACATATTATGAGAACTTACAGAAGAAAAATTGAAACATGAAATTACATATTTGACATTAAAAGAGTGATACTTTAATTAATAATTTGTTAAATTAGGGTGACAATATTGAAGAGAACTCTAGAAATTAAAACAATTTCTGTTATGTATTAGATTATAAAAGTTAGGGATTCCCATTATTATAAAATTATTTACTTGACTATACCTATGAGTTTGTTTTTTTAGCATTATTGGTAATGTAAGTAATTTTTTTAGGCTTTACTGCAAAAATTTTTAATTACAGTGGAATCTGGTTAACTCAAATTGGTCAGGGGGAAAAAATTGGACTTCCAAGTTAAAAAGTTTCATTTTATGGGGGTTTGGCAAAAAATCAAGATTTTGTCTATTGTTTATTGGTGACTGATGATAAACTATCCATATAATATTACTGTGGGCCTTATTATATGGAATCGTTGCATCAATGTAAACCTCTTGGTGTTATCCAGAAACTTGAAAATGCTTAATCAAATGGTTAAATAAGCTACTTAGAAATTCTCTTTCCAGTGATCAATCCATTCACTCCTAAGTATTTAGTAAGGACTTTTTTTAAATTTTGCACCTAGAATTGTTCTGTTTTTATTTTACATCACAAAAACTATCCTTTACGATTGTTAAATTTTTAAACTTTTAACAATCCACGAAAAAACCTTTTTTTACATGTGTTATGTCAATTAAATTGTGGAATTTAATTGTGATATAACACGCGTAAAAAAAAGGTTTTTTCGTGGATTGTTATTATTCAACGCAGTGTTAAGTTGTTGGAAGTCATTTTAAACTTTTGTCTCAAAGGTTAAAATTTTTACATAGATTGAACTATAATCATTTTTTGAAAGTAATTTATCAAAACTCCATTTATTTATTACATCAGATAGTTGGAGAAATCCATCAGCAATCAAATAAAACAAAAAAAAAAAAAATGTTTGAATGGCAGTTAGTATCTAGGTTACATGCTTCTGGAAGCCACCACCCCCGCCTGCCTTCACACAACACAATACTTATTTTTAGTCGTATGTAGTTTCTGCACTTTATGGAAAGTTTGTGATTAGTTGTTTTGATAGATGGACATTAATTATTTTATTTAATGGAACACTAAACTTTCAGAGAGTTTATGAAAATATTGTATCGAAACCCCATTCAAGTTAAATAGTTTATTTAACATGTAATTCTCTATGTTGGCCAGTTGAGGAAAGAATATGACTTCAAATAAATACAACTTTGAGTTATCCCAGTTCAAGTTAATCAGGTTCCATTGTTTTAAAATTTTTGATATTTTTTAAGTTAAAGAAATTTTATAAAAATTAACAATAAAGAACTAAAAGATATCAAAAATTTTACACACAATATCATTACATTAACAATACACATTTAGCCTTAATTTTTAAGGCTAAATGTGTATTGTTAATGTAATGATATTTCATTCTGTTGATAATTCAAATTTTTTTGTAAAAATTAAATTGAAGATGATTTGTTAATAAACTGGGTTATTCACGAAAAGAAACACATTTCTTGTTTAAATTTTTTAATAGCATAAGTTTTCATGTTGTTATTTTTTATTTTTTTACTTAGACTTACGTTATAATTAAAAATTTTATAAATTTAATTATATTAATTTCATAAATATAAGTCATTGTGTAGAGATATTTCAATATCACAGTTAAAACAATAAAATATTTTTGTGATTGATTGAATTTTTTTTATTTCAGACAATGGTTTCAGGCCTTGAAAGTATTCCACAGCAAACTGGTTATCTAGTTATTAATGAAGATGGTGCAGTAATTTCTGTATGTTATAATAATTAACTTATTTTAAAGTAAAAGTAACAATAAAACTAAATATTCTTAAATTATTTATTTAGTTTTTCTTTTTTGTTTTGGAACCATATTGTTTCTTTTTAATAGTTGTGGAAGTGCTAGGCACTAGTGTTGCATTCCAGTTCATTGATGCCAAACTTACAGAATCATTTTTATTTAACTCTTTAAATTTACAGTACTTGTTTTTTGTTTTAATGTGCATTTTGGATTTCCTCCATCCTTTATCACTTTGCTACTGTGAAAACTTGTTACTTTTGTAAATTGTTTAAGGATAAGTTTCTTATGTTAAACATTGTTTATCAACAATCTTTATTACTTCATTCTTATTCAATAATAAAATACAATGGTATCTCGATATACGTCTGCTTTAGAATACGTCCAATTCGGAATATGTCCTGTTTGGACGAAACAAATTTTGCTCGGTATACGACTTAATTCAATTATACATGCCATCTATGAACAAGTAGCACTATCGGTGTACTAGACCAGACTAGATGTTCGCGGTGAAATGGTTTATAACTTTGTTAAATTTCTTCTGATTTTAATTCGTAAGTAAAATTTTATTATTTTTATTAATCATGAATCACAAAAAGGCAAATGAAAAGCGACAGAAAACTAAAAAAATGACTAGAATCACAATGGAACTGAAAAAAGAGATTATTGAGAAATACGAAGGTGGCATGAGTGTTTGAGATTTAACTGTTGCATACCGTATTCCGAAAATGACAATATCGACAATCGTGAAAAATGAAGACATTTATTAAATCTGCTAACGTTGTGAAAGGAGTTAAATCAATTTCTAAAAAGAGATTAAAGAGATTAGATCATGTTGAGAAATTGCTTTTGCTTTGGATAACTGAAAAACAGTGTGCTAGAGACAGTGTATCAGAAGTAATTATTTGCGAGAAAGCTAAAAAGATACATTCTGATCTCATGAAAAATCAAGCAGGAACTAGCCAGGAAAGCGAGATGTTTAAAGCCAGCCATTTTTTTTTACATGAGAATGGATTAATCATTTTTACATTACTTATTATGGGAAAGGTTGGTTTGGTATAAGTCCAAACATCAGGAAAGGATTAAGGTTGTATACCGAGGTTCCACTGTATTTGTATTTATATCAGGTTATAAAGATGAAATTTAGATATTTCAATGACTGGAAGAAAATGTTCCAGAATGTTCAATGTGGTATATAAGTAGAGTAACCAGGAGGCATTTCATCACATATTTCATTGGAAATAGATGCATCAGCAATGTCTCTTACAATATGAAATTTTCTTGGCTTGCTAGCTTAGTTTCTGTATTATTTTAGTATTAGTTTTAAGCTTTAAACTTTACTCTGTCCAGGGGCGCCGCTAGCTGTTTGAACACCCGTGTGCAATACCGATTATGCCGACCCCTGTTTAACTACGACTGAGCTTGCCAGAAAGGCTCTTTAGCGTTGTCTCATAAGGGTGTGAAAAAAGAAAATAAATACTTTACAAAGAAAAACTATTTATTATTACTAAGTTATTTTTGTTTACTTAAGTGTAAAACCATATAAATGTTTATCTACAGAAATTGAACTCTTCTTGCCTTTATGTTTGTGAAATCTGCTATCAATTTTCTTGTATCCAAGCTGTCTAAGATTTCATATTCAATTGAAACTACAGCTAAATTACTTAGTCTTTGCTGGTGCATTGTTGATCTTAAATAGTTTTTCTATAATTTTTAACTTTGAAAAGGACCTTTCACCAAATGCAACTGTAACCGGCAATGTAAGTAATATTCTTAGTGCTATTGCTGTGTTCGGAAATGTTGAAATTAAGTCATTAGTAAAAAGATATTGTAATAGGGTTTGTGGATCATTAGACTGGTTTTCTGGAAAATGCAACTTTAAAGTATTGATTTCATTAAACAAATCAGTACCGTCAATGTCTGTTTCACTACTTGAATCATATTTAAGCTTCAGATTTAAATCCTAACCAAGTTAAAATATCATTAATTATACTTAGACCCATGTCAGAAGAATTATTAACAAAATAATTGCAATTTGATATGCAATAGAACTGTTCGAATGCATACAAGTACAAACTGAGAAGGAAGCTCTGTGGGAATTTCCTATTTTCGCCAGTCCTGTCAACTTCTGTCATGGAGCACAACTATGGGTACTTGGCTTTCGGGCACCGCCGGATGGTTCAATCTGCCACATTGCATCTTAGTTCTGATAAATGCCTATAGAGGCGCTGTTAAGGCTATAATATAAATAAGAATATAGTAATTGCATGCCAGTCGGATTTTTTTTCCATGTGAAGACATTTCTTATGCTATAAGTAGGGTGGGTATTATGACAGTGACTTTCAATATTACTTGACCGATCGCTCGATTTGCCGCCCGTGTGTGATGCACGCCTTGCATGCCCACTTATGGCGGGCCTGATTCTGTGTGTCTTTTATATAGCTGCACTACTTATTGATATGATGTATGCTGCAATTCAGGTTTTCTTTTAGTTAGACCCATGGCTTTGCAGCCTAAAAACTGTATGCCAACATTAATCATAAAGAGAGTTGTAACCTTATGTACACTGCTCAAAGGAATCTTTCCTTTCTTCCCTTCTTTTCTTTTTATCTCCTCACCCTTCTCCTTTCCTTTCCCATTTTTTCTGTTGGCTAAACACTTTGTGCATAGCTGTTGTTTTTTGTTAAAATAAAATAAAAGTATGAAATTTTCAAAACACATTTGTTTGCTGTTGCTCTATCACTTCAAAAGTGGCCATGATGCAATGAAGGCTCACAATCTCATTTGCAAGGCATTTGGCAAGCACAGTCAACAGGCAAACCTACTATGATTAGTTTGAGAAATTCAAGGATGGAGATTTTTCACTTGAACTCCATCCAGATAGCAATTCCACCATTGATGACAATCTCCTGCAATTGATAGATTATAATCCACAGATAATCATCAGAGAATTAGCTCAACAACTCGATCAGTTTAATGACAATACCTTTCTGAGAACAATGCTTGAAACTTTCTTTAAAAAAAACCCCATAATTCTATGTTTATGGAATTGAAAGTTTGCAGCAAAGGTTATTATATTCAATTATTATATTCTTGAAGCCTGTTACCAGTGGCGATTCTAACGGAAATTTGTCACCGCCTGAAGAAGAACCGTTGAAGGTTCAAAAATGTTCATGAAATTTTAAATTTTTGTTTTTTCACGTTAACTGCACACCGGTAACAGGATTTGAGGTACGTAATTGATTATATTCTGGTGTCGGATAAAGTGAAGTTATATTATTGATATTGATGGTGATTACTTAAAAGACTGAACTGTAATTGTTTTTGAGTTAATTGTTAATAAAGTTATTTTCAAAATGTCTAAAATTTGCCTCTACAACTAGATATATCCATTAAAATATCAAAAATTTCCTAAAATTTTATTCAATACTGTTAAATTATTTGTACTCGAGAAATGACTAGATATATCCATTAAAATATCAAAAATTTCCTAAAATTTTATTCAATACTGTTAAATTATTTGTACTCGAGAAATGACTAGATATATCCATTAAAATATCAAAAATTTCCTAAAATTTTATTCAATACTGTTAAATTATTTGTACTCGAGAAATGATGCCCAAATTTATTGATTGATGGGTTAAATTGTACATAAATTATAAGTAGATGGGCCACAGATATTTTATATAGTCCATATATACAAAAGTAGGATATTTCTATTATTTATAAATAACGTGTCAAATATGTTCATGGGCCAGATTTGGCCTGAGACACCATCACTATAAAGAGAAGCATTACATAAATAAAAATAAACTACCATCTTAAAGGCAATATATTTTTAAACTAACATTTTCAGCCTAGTTTATAGCCATTACCAGGAGTTCTTTAACCTTTTTAAAATCGTTCTGATTTTGGAATTTGATCATACTCTAACCTGATGCAGATCTTGAGTAAGATCGAAAGTGTTTGTTGGACAATTTATTTAACGTTTTTTGTTACCAGACAGATATTTTAACAACTCTTGAAGAACCTTTATTTTAATGATAAGATTATGGTTACAATGTATGATCATTTTTGCCTCTTCTGCCATTTAGTCATGGGTTGTCAGACTTACTGTCTCTGGACACACTTTAAAGATGCACAACTCTGATGTTTGTAGGTAAAACAGGTCCATACAGAATTGTCAATTCTAGATAATGATGAGATGAAACCATATACCACATATATATATTAATCATTCATTATCAGTTCATTATGGTAAATAATGAACTTATCATTGAAGTGAACTTTAGATTCTTTTAAAATTAAGAGAAGTACAGAATACTTTCCTAGAAAATTTTTTGAGTTTTATCATCTGAACGTTTATACCGTATATATTTCACCAAAATGAAGTTCAATTTCTCTATATTTGAATGAAATAAAAAACATTTTTTATTGTAATTTCTACTTGTAATTATTTCTTTCACTTTCTAGATTTTTTTAAAAGAATTTTAATTTTTTATCATTTTAATAATTCAATTATTTTTAGAAATATTTTTATTAGTAACTTTCTGAAATTTGTGAAGAAACTTTACAATGTTTTATTTATTCTTATTTTATTGAATATTTCAGTCTGGAGGGGATTTAGAAAATGACGAACATACGGCAAATATTATTTCTTCTATGGTACAAGTTGCAGATAAGTCTCATTTAACTGTTGATAGTAATGAATTTTTTCAGACACTATCGGGTGAGTTGTTATATAATTATTTGCATAAGAATTTTTAAATTTTTATTACTAAAAAAAATTCATAAAATATAAAATTGAGTTACTTTATATAGAATTAAAACTTTTATTTTTCAGTGATATATGATGACCACTTTTACGTAGTTGCTGTGTCTAACAAAAAAATCCATGTAGTCAAAAGGAAATATGTTCCTTTAGAGCCAGTAAATGTATAATAATAGAAACAATTTGTTTTGCATTTGTAATTATGTTTTGATAAGATCTTAAATTCCTTTTAACAGTTTGTATTTGAACAATGTAATATAAATCAGTAAATGTAAATTTCAATAACTTCTCTTTGACTTATTATGTATGTGCTATTATAATAATTTGAATATTGTTTGTAAATAGGATGTATTTGTTTTTTATATTAAAAATTTTATAAGCAATAATTATTATTATTATTAAGCAAATAATATGAATAAAGTGTATAAAAAGTGTATTTGAATTGTCTCTCTGCTTTACTATGTAAAATTTTAAAGTTTTGTAATAGCTAAACTTTCATTTCTACACTTATAACAAAATATTCAGTTAAATAACTATCACAATATTTTGTTGTCATCAGTGGTTGATACAAGGGAAAAAGGCTAGAGGCAAAAGCTCTCTACTGACATTAATTTTATTTGTTCAAACTTCAAAATGTTTTTAAAAAGCATTTATGATGACAAATATGTACAGTTTATTGAACCATCTAGAATGCAATCATTGTCATGCATGTGTTAATTAAAGGTACTTATTAATTATTAAAATGTTTTTAATTTTTGAATTAGCCTCCCCATGGGTACTTCTGGATCTACTGTTGGTTGTCATCTTGTTTAATTTTAAAAATGCAATGGCTGTATGACCAGGTGGTTAAGGTTTCAGCCTACAGCTCTGAGACCAAGAATGAATCCAGGTGGATTGAAAAATCTCCTGGGAATTTTTCAGATATTTACAATTATAGTGGTCTGGCCCCATTCTTCAACACTCCATTGTGGACCTAATCAAAATCTACAATGCACTTGCAGGTGTCACCCTCGCTGTTTTATAGCATTTGCCAGGTCACTTTTTTGTTTACTGTAACTTTTTGTATCAACCTGAAATGAAAGGACTGACAATATAGAAAAATGCAGTTTTTATGAGCGAGTTTCTTAAACAACTCTGTTTATTAACAGTAAAATTGTATCAGACCAAGATGGATTCATTTTCTGTGATACTCTTTACTGAGTGACTTTTTTTTCTTCTGGATGCTATGGCTATTCACCACTCCAATTGCCAGATGAATATAATTTTCATAAATTGCAAATTTTGTGACAGGCAGTCCTGACTTGATTAAAAGAGCCTCTTAATGCCCATAGGGCGGGCAGAATTAGTAAAAAAATAATATAAACAAAAAAATTAATCAAAATTCTATAATTGTTCATTAAATATTTGACTTTGAATGTTTCTGAATAAAAGTTTTATGAACAATTATATTTATAAATGGCCATTTCAAATTCTATCAAGCATCTGATTTATTATTTTTACTTATAAAAGAATTCATTATTTGTTTGATGATTTAAAACAATTATTTGCAAATTTCATAAATATAAAAAAATTGTGTTTTATTTGTATGATTTAACATATATTTGAATAAACTCATACTTGACAATGATTAGAACTTAAATGTATAAAAATATTTTGTCTTTGGTACTATATGGCTTCATCAGTTAAACAACAAAAAAAAGAATGTGATATACAAATTAAAATTAGAATGGTTTTGAAAGAAACTGGTTTTAAACTTTACATCTTAAAATGAAAATAAAAACAATCCAACAAAATTAGCATGGAGTTATAGACAGGATGTTAATATATTCCCAAGGATCTTGAGATTTCAGTTTTTGTGATTATTGTAAACTTGATGTAAATAAAAACTCTAAAGTCATATTAATTTCATTTCTTTATCAAACGTTTGAAGTTTATTGTCTATCAATCATACCAAATTTATCTGATTATTCATTTCAATATTGGCCTTATATTAACAATGCTATCATGTTTCACATCTGTACAGCTTATCTATTATCATTCTGAGGATATTTTGAATGTAAAATTTAGCTTTTTTTTATACTTATAAATTCTGGATATTCAAATACTCCTGCTATAAAAAAAGAGTGTCTTATATCCTTGGTCAAAACTTCTGACCTATACATTGATCCCTAAATTCTTACTAATTCCCATTTCCTACTTGGTTAATTTCATGTACAGTTAACTTTAGGGCTTAATCTATCAATTGCAATTCAACTTTCATTGAGAAGATTGTGTAAACAATATGTAAGCTTAGCAAATAAAGGAAAAATATGGAGTTAAAGCCTTACAGTAGAACTTTATTTTATGTAAATGCTATAATTCAAGCATTGTGTCAGAGAAGTTTGCAGAGCAAAAGAATATTAAGAGGATTTGAAAGACATGAATTTGGCTAAGCTTGTACTAGAGGAGAATTTTGAACCAAAATAAAAACAAAAATTCTATACTCTCCCAGAGAAAAAAATGCTGAAACCATTTTGTTGTTTTCTTTCCACCCTATGGGCACTAGATGGCCTTTCCTGCCTGTCATACGTTCAGCCAGGTCTGTAATGGGGTCCAACATCTAGAATAGTCATCCCATGAAAACTTTTTGAAGTTGCTGAACCAGACTCAAATCCTGACCTGCATTGTGTAGACGTGCTTTTACTGTCTGTCTGACCATCATTTTGATATTAAAAAATGTCTGTAATACACCAACTTTGGCTCTAAATATAGTTTGGGACTATGTCTTATAATTACTCTTCAAATTAACATCTTAAGTAATGTTTTTATTACTTACAAAGAACAAAATTTATATACAATTATATGTGGTTTTAATTATTTTCAATTTATGTTCTAAAGATAAAGTTTTTCGTATTTTTTCAAAATTGTTACTTTAAATTCATAAATCATCTTTTTTATAGCATTTGATTGGTACTGGTAAATACTGGTTGTTTAACTATATCTTATGCCATTATTTATATTGTTTCTTAATAAATGCTTTGTTTATCTTTTGGTAAACAGCAGTATCAATAACCTATTAGTTTCTTTGACCAAGATGCTAAACAAATCTATGAGTAGTTTCTATCAAGATGAGAGAACACAAAAACATAAACAGAAATTATCCCAGTTAAATGAAAAACTGCTTATATTGTTCTGTAGTTTATATTCTATTTTAATTGATGAAGCTATAGTATTAATAATAATGTTAACAATACTTTTATACATAATTTTTTCAGTGTTTACATCATTGCTGTGTGTGTGTATCATCAACACTGTCAGATTTCATGAATTTATCAAGTAGTATTTTTTTGACTAACCAAAACTTCAATATTTAATTAATATATCTGAATGTGTTTTAATATTCTAATAGGTTTGGAATGTTTAAAAATAAAAAAATTTATGGCTGCATCATAAAGATATAAATTTATAATGGATTAAAATATAAATCCATGCTTTTTTTCATAGCTTATTCAGAGTAAATCAGTAATTCCTATCTTGGCTAGCCACAATTGTAGATCAGATTACCAGTAATGAGAAGAGTTGGATGGTCATATTACTACAGTATATATCGGGTGGACAAGCAAAAGTTCAGTGGGAGCTGAAATGTAGGTTTTGCAAAATGTATGGGAGCCACAGTTCTGTACTTTTTATTCTGTATTGCAATTTTATTATATAATATAATATAAAACAAATATTGAATTTTTTTAATAAACATATTTTCACAAAATTGTGGAAATAAAATTGTAAAAATAATAATAAAATGCAGAAATTAACACTTTCGGCAAGAGTCGCATTGTAACTCAAAAACAGCTGCATGCGGCTCTCAGAGCCACATTTGCCCATGTCTGGTATATATAGTAATTTACTAACAAAAACTAAAAATTAAAGATCTCATATAAAAAGTTGATTGAAGCAAAATGCATGTTAAAATACTGCTAATGTTAATGATAATCGGGATGAATAAGGGTCCTGCCAGTAGGCACCAAGGCCTGCTGGCAGGACCCTTATTCATCTAATACAGAACATGTAATATACACTACCAGGTAATACAGAAACTTACACTACCAGGTAATACAGAACACGTCTGTATTACCTGGTAGTGTAATACAGACGTGTTCTGCTCATTTTGAATGCTGTACTCTAACTTCATATAGCAGTAAGTAATTCATTAAAAAAAAAACCATTATTAAACATGATGCATTATTAATGTGAGAGCACGGTGAACATGTTAATTATACTTTTATGTTGTCTAGATTAGTCAAAAAGTATATAATCTGAAAATATTTTCTACATCCAAAAACAAGGTGAAAGTGCAGTGTAGTACTGTACTTGAACATCAATAATATTTTGTAGTTCACAAATTCCTAGCAGACTCCCAATGTTTACCAAAAATTGCTTTTTACTAATGTTGATTTGCATTTCCATCAAAAAAGGTAACAAGAACAAATACACATCCACAATTTTGAAAATGTGTACAGCATGACCACCCTCATTTTTCCTAATTTTACTCTATTAGAAGGATGTAAGGAGCAATCATGACCAACCACAGACTAGCTGGTATGCCCCAGTCAATTTAGAAGCATTATTTCGAGGGCCTACCAGAAGTGTCTGCTGATCCTTCAGGTGGACCACTTTGTCCAATGTATGGTTAACAGTGTTGTAACATGTATTTTGCTTCAATCAGCTTTTAAAAGTATAAAAATCAGAAATGAAATTATAATCATCATGTTTATAAATAGAGCATATACTTAAATATCATGGAAAATTATATAACCTGCTAATTGTTTTATTGAATTGTTTCTAGCACAGAAATATATATAAACCAAGTAATTTTACAATTAAGTTATTTAATCTTCAATCCACAAGGCAATGTATGTTCTCTTAACTTTCACTATCCTCAAGGACAGTACTCTATTACTATTTGGTTGTGCTAATTGAGTAATCTTATGAGTTTTATTATTATTAATCCTTTTTGAAACCTGTCTTTCTTTCAGTGTTGTATCTGACTGACACTTTCTTGTGGTTTATATAACAAAAAACTTTCTAGTTTCAATATGACTGCCAAATCTCATTTTATCACATCCAAAGAGATCAAGACAAAATTCTTAAACAAGAAGAGGCTAATGAAGATAAGGGAAGTTGTTTAAACCACTGAAATAGATATTGCAATGTTATCATTGACAATTGTGATGATGATGATACCATTACCAGGCAATTTAAGGATTGTAATATTTAGGAAGATATTTTTAATTATGTAAAGTAGTAACCTTTTAGCACAGCGGGGACAAAGGGGGTACGGCTTTGTTAATTAGACCCACCTGCGGTGAGACGGTAGTACAATTGCCATATTGTAAACGAACGAACGTAAACAAGTGGCGGACGTTTGTGTAAGCTTCACTCTCGTCGGGTGACGGC